TCGTCCGTGCACCCGGTTGATTCCCGGTCAGGGCATGTGCCTGGGTTGCAGGCTTGATCCCCAGTGGGGGAGTAGAGGAGGCAGCGGACCGATGTTCTGCTCTATCGATGTTTCTCTCTGTCCCTCCCTCTCTTTCTAAAAATCAATTTAAAAAATCTTTTTTAAAAAAGAAACTAAGGTAAAGGCAACTTACTTTATAAAGTAATATATAAACTTTTTTTTAATGCAGCAATTTGGAAAAGTTTAAAAATGTAGCTTATGTATTACAACTGATTTGGTACATTAAGGAAATCATTTATTATATTCACACCTTTAATCAGCTGTTACTCTAGTTGACGTTCTTGTTTAAAAACCAAACTCTGAATATTCTGTGGATAACCTCTCTCTCCTCAAACAAAAGCCTAAGTTGACAAAAGGGTCAACTATTAGTGCCCTTCCCTTTCTTTGCCTTAGATTTTTAAAAATCCAAATATATATAGTTTCCCCCATTTCCTGTATATAAATCAAACTTCCTTCACATTTAGTTCTAAAACCAAGTCATTTTTGCCCCTAAGAAATATTTACACAAAGTACCTTGTGAATTAGTTTCTAGCCTATCACATAAGTTTCAAAACAGACCCAATTTAAGTAGTCCATACTACATATTAATATAGCATTTAAATACCACGCTAACTATAATTGGGAATAATACAGTTCTTAAAAGTCATAATTATCCACTTTATTTCCTTGTTTAAAAATAGCATAGATGGCACTCTAATTCATATTAACCTGTTTAAACACAATTAAGGACATTTTATTACTATACAATAGCAGAAACCTGCTCATTTAGACCACTTAAGGCTTACATAAACTAGTAAAAATATTGTTCATCTTTCAATGCATACTAAAAATGCAAATTCAATATTTAATATGTTAAGTGGAAGCCCAAATGCTGATTTTCAGGAGGTAAGATTCAAGTTGGGCATACTAGCTAAAAAGTGTCTAATTTACTAAATTCTTAGTTTTTGTCTAATGCAATTTTTACTCACCACCAAAGTTCTACCTAGACATGGTAAAATAATGGTTTCCATACTTTGTGGACTCTAAATTAATGAGGCTTTAACAGAGCATACATTTTTAGAAGGATGCAAATTTCTACTCCTCCATATCCAGAAATTAAGATTTAGTTCAACAAAGCTAATGGGCTTTTAACACTTACATAGAACACAGAAACAGGTCTGAAATGTATGTATATTCCACATACTTTACTAACAAATTACAGTAAAATTGCTTATTTCATGGCAACCTGGATTATATAATAAACAACAAGAAAAGGCCACTTATCATAGAGTGTAGTCTTTATTGAAAGACTTACTTCAACTGTGGTTTACAGCTTTGGCTTAAGTTGGCCAGTCATTTTAGCCTGTTACTGCCAACAGACATAAAAATCAACTGGGAATGCCATGGGGGAAATACTAGCAGGGATTAGAGCAAAGATGGCAGTCAAAATCACATCACCAAAATCAATCTCAAAATAATTACAAAATAAGAAACATTTATTGCATGCCAAAGAATCTCTGCTGTTTCTAATGAACATGGAAAAGGCAACGATTCTTGGGCTTAAATTGGATCAAACTAGCACTGATTTCACTTTGTTATGGCCGGTGTTAGCTTGACAGTTTTAGTCTAAGATTGTGCATTTTGTTTGGATACTTAAACAATTTACTATGAAATAACTTCCACCAACTAAACTGACCATGAAATCTTGTTCTCTTTTCGATCAAGACAAAGGACACTTCAGTCACATGTTTACTATGGCAATATAATTAGTCCTTATAATTTTAGTAATTCATAGAATATACAACTAGGAAATACTGCAGCTATATTTTAGCTGTTATCGCAATAAGCTAATTGACTTACTGGCAGACCAAAAAAGGCAAACTGAGAATTTAATAGGCTTTTATCCATATATTTTTAAGTCTTTAATTGTTCAAGTTTCACATATATTCAAGAAATGTTTTACTAGGAGGCATAATTGATATAATTTGAGTGTTCTCCTTATAAAATGTAAAATAACTTCTCCATAACATCCCCCAAAGACACCAGGAACAAAAGAAATAAGGGTAAATTTTGTAATAGAAGAATATAACAGATGACTACTACTGAGGTTAAAACTAAAGTGTCATATAAAATTGGCCCAAAGATGAAACTTCAGACTCTGAATTTTCAGGTATAGTAACAATTAGCTATATTTCTAAATGGGGGGAAAAAGGGAATAATACCAAAATTATTGTGGTTACCCATTTATAAAACCATCATTATTTCAAATCTAATTGTAAGATTTCAAAAGTTTCAATAATAATCTGTGGATATTAGCTACAACTTACTAAACTATAAAGGGTTTTCTCATTTTGGTGTCCAGGCCTCAAAACATTTCAAATATATTGCCTAAACATTTGCACCCCCTAGCTGTCAAAATTCAAATACATAGGATTTTATCCCTCTTACATTCCTGTTATGATAAAAGTTCAAGGCAGATTTTATCCACATAGCCTGAAAAATATCTCAGAAACCAACCTCATTCTTCTCCACCTGCTAATTCATTTACAAACTGCACTCATACAGCCCAGCCTCTGTTCAGGCTTGTCATCCCATGCACACTACCCACACAGGAAAACAAATTAACCAAATACAAGTCACAACTGTGTACTAGTTAAAGTGAAGAGCCAATATAAATTGGTACACTGAACTGTCTAAATAAGATGCTTTAGCAATCTTGTTTAAAAAATCATTGGGCAAAATATATCTAATTTAAAAAACACCCAAATATTTTTAAAAAAACACTTGTATTATACAATTTATAGGAACCTTGATACGGTTTACAAGGTTTTAATCAAGGTGTTTACACACCAAGTGATGTAAAGCTAAGGGGAAAAAAAGCGAAGAAAAAAGTCTATTCTGCAGTGACATTTTAAAATGTATTTCTGCATCAAAGATTTATATGAAATTAAAATTAAGGCTTTTTCTGTATAGTAATTTGTATAATTTTAATTTTACATAGTAGCCAACCTTGGAAATGTCAGTCTTAAACATTCTTATCAATCCATTGCATTCAATGCAGTGGACTGTTGTTACTTCAC